GTAAAACATTCAACATGGCTGACAGCCGCACCAGAGAAACTAAACTTACAGTTCATCCCCTACTCAAAATGTTAGGCTAAGAAAATTGGATTCTGTGTTTATCGATCAAGTAAAACATCAATTCCACATTTGTGCTATAAGGAAGATTTAACATTCAATATGATGATCAACTTCTCAGATACTGAAGCTATGTATGTCTATACAAAGCAAGGCTTGGACAGCATTGTAGCTAATAAGTGGCATAGGGCATTCATGCCACATACATGTTTGGCAGTAAGCATCTCCAACAAAAGAAGATCTTTCCTTGACATTCAATGACATTTGGCAGAGCAGAATCAATGGATTGAGTCCTAGGTCTGATCCTATGTCTATTGGTCTTACCATCACTGAATTTCTCTCACTACCAACATCCTACCATTGAACAAAAGTTCAATGGACCAGCCATATAAATATTGTGAAATCTGAGGTGGACAACTCACCTTTTATATTTCAAAAGAACCTAGGAATGTAATGAAATATTCTTGCCTTTTCTGGATGAGTATAGCCCCAACTACACTAATGATGCTCAACAGCATTCAAGCTAAATACTGGCTCAAGCCCCATTCACCAACCTAAATATTTACTCCCACCGCCATAGACAAGTAATGGCAGCAGTGTGTATAATGATACACTGCAGTAACTTACCAAGGTTCCTTCAGCATCACTTTCCAAACCTGCAATCTCAAAAATAATGTCCTCATAGTCCTACTCTCCAATTTGAGAGAGATGACAGGTGGTGCTTTAACCTGAGGTTCACCACATATCATGTGAGGGGGAGATGTTGAGAAGGAGGGTCCTGCATGGTAACCTCAGACAGTTCATTAACTGAACCTGTGCTGTTAGTGTTGTTCTGCATTGCAAACCAGCCATCCAGGCTAACTGCAGCCTCTACCACCAAGGAGGACACAGACAGCAGGTGCATAACTGCAAGATTCCTCCAAGCCGCACACCATCAGTTTCCTACCCTTTCACCATTCTTTCACTGTCCCTGGGTCAAAATGTTGGACCATCAAAGCTGTGGGTGTACCTACACCGCATGGACTGCAACAGTTCAAGAAGTCGGGTCACCACCATATTCGCCCGGATATTTAGGGATGGGCAGAAAATGCTCGCCTTGCCCATGATACTCAAGTCACAGTGAAGAATAAGAATGAACTGTAGAATTATGGAATGATTTAAGCACTGAAAGGAAGCCATTCAGCCCATTGTGGTCTGCTGGCTCCGTGCAAGAACAACGCTGCTGTTCTACACCAAGTCCTTTCCCCGTAGATTTTTTCAGTTGGTTGTCTAATGCTCTTTTAAAGGTCCACTTGAAACTATCTCTGTCATGATTTCAAGCTGTATTTTTCAAATCCTAACCTAACCTCTCTATGAGGAGAACGACTTCACTTTCCCCTCCTCGTATTGTAGAATTCACCTCAAATGGGTGACTGTCTGTTTATCAACCTTTCCACCAACAGAAACAATTTCTCTCTATTTACTCTGTCTACACATCTCATGATTTTGAACACCCCGATCAAATCTCCTCTCAACCTTCTCTTCCTTAGAAAGAATGACACCAGTTTCTCTAATCTATCACTCAGTTGAAGTCCTCATCCCTGAAACCATTCTTGTAAATGCTTTTTTGCATTCTTCCTGAAATATGAAGTCCATAATTGGACACAAAATTCTATTTGGGGATGTACAAATAATATAATTAATAAATTAAACAAGTAAATAATGAACTTCATAAACATTAATCCAACTTTCTTGCTTTCTTTCTTATACCTCCATTTATAAAGCCTATGACCCTCCCTGTTTTTTCAACTACTTTTGAATCATACTCTGCCACCTTTAACATCTTGCTGCTAAGGCTTTATTAATCCTGTAGCAGCATCAGTTTGGAGTTTTAGACCATAATTGTGATACTTAAAAGCTGATAAACAAATCTAATTTAATCTCGTTTGCCCAATGCTGGCCTTGGTTTGGGGAATTCCTGTGGGGAACTGAGTAAGGATATCCGAAGGTCATTTAGAGAGAAGATTCTTGGGAATGGCAGCTGCTTGTAAAATCCCAGTTCCTCACCTGGGGAGAGATCGGATTATCAAGGTCAAAAAAAGTAACAAGAAGGTATTCGATCGCACAGCTGCCAATGTTGAAAATAGGGAATGTATGAGAGGTCAGAGGAGGACCCTCATATAAAGATCTAGGAGGGTTGGTCAACATTACAGAGACAGGGAGATGCAAAGCCATGGAGGAATTTGAAAACAAGCATGAGAATTTTTAAAAGGAAGTATTGTTGGACTAGGGTCATTATTGCTCATGGAGGTGATAGTGTGGGGTGGAAGAGGACAGCAAAGATGAGTCTAAACTTTGACCCGTCCCAACCTATGCCCATGTTTTCTGGGTTTAGGTAAGTGCAGTGTATCCTCCCAGATATGCTTCTATATCAAACAAACACAAAGTACACTTGAAGGGAGTTAGGATTTTCACTCATTTGGGCATCAGCGTCGTCATTTCTGTTCCCAGAGTGAGGACGCTTTGAGGACCAGAACACCTAGCAGAGACCTTGCAGAAGCCCTGAAGCCATGTCTGAAACCCCAATTTGAACAGAAGATGAACTCTTAATGAAGTAATTTCTTTTTATCCTTATTGTAACTCAAAATGGCACCAGATTGTGACAACAAAACACTGTTCACTGTATCTTCCAGTTACACATGACAATAAATCATTCATTCACTCACTCATTCATTGTGTGTCAAACATGATGATTGGTTTCATTTAATTAGGTGTTAACAGTGGATTAACCACAATGATTAACAAACAAAGGAGAGAAAGAATCATAACTTTCCTATCAAGATGGTAGCAGAATAAGGTGCTCCAACCGGAGCTCCTCTGCTCCTTCTTTTATTTCTCACTTCCTTCTCTTTTTGGTGTTTTCCCCATCTTGGTGCTCATCTGCCCTGTGACGGGCTTCAGGCTGGTCTACCAGCTGGTCGAGCAGCTTGTGGTGGGTCCCGGCCTAGTTTCTCAGCAGCTTGTGGTGGGTCCCGGCCTGGTCTCTCAGCAGCTCGTGGTGCATCCCGACCTGGTCTCTCAGCAGCTCATGGTGCATCCCGCCCTGGTCTCTCAGCAGCTCGTGGTGCATCCCGCCCTGGTCTCTCAGCAGCTCGTTGTGGATCCCGGCCTGGTCTCTCAGCAGCTTGTGGTGCATCCCGCACTGGTCTCTCAGCAGCTCGTTGTGGATCCCGGCCTGGTCTCTTGGCAGCTCATGGTGGGCCGCAGCCTGGTCTCTCAGCAGCTCGTTGTGGATCCCGGCCTGGTCTCTTGGCAGCTCATGGTGGGCCCCAGCCTGGTCTCTCCGTAGCTCATGTGGATCCCAGCAAGGCCTCATGGCGGCTCTCAGCCTAGTGTCTCAGCGGCTGCTGGCAGCATCTCGGCTCAGCGTGCGAGTGGATCCTGCCTGGGCATGTTCCTGAGGCACCGAGGGACATCAGAGAGGCGGTAGTTCCAGCAGCAGTGACAGTATCTGTGGCGGTGGCATCGAAAACAGAGAGCTGAGGTCTCCCCATGAGAGTGAGCTAAGTGGAGGACTCATCAAAGACTGTTGAACTTTTAACTTATTCCTTTATTTTCCTAGTTTAAACTACGAAAGACTTTAATGTAAACTATTACCTATTTCTTTACTTTTCTACTATTCTTTGAAGTTATGCTTAACTTTTTAACTCTCGTTTCTCTTACTACTTTGTGTTGGTACCTAAGATGGTGCTGTGTGTGATGACATTATACAATTTTCACTGTACTTCTGTATTTGAGTACACATGACAATAAAACCTAAATCTAAATCTAAAGTGTTGTTGATCCTGATTAAAAGAAAAGAGAAAGTAAACTTGCATTCCTATATCATCATTCACAACCTCAGGATCTTCCAAAGTATTTTACAGCCAATGAAATGTTTTTGAAGTGTGATTGTTATGCAGGAAATGTGGCAGCAATGTTCTGCTGGCCGTAAGAGATGATGGTCACATAACCTCTCCTAGATTCGGAAAAAACCTGCTGTCCTGAATTTGGGCATCTGTACCTCAGAAGGTGGTGGAGGTAGGTGTCATTGCATTTTTTTAACACAGACATCATTAGGTTCTTGTTAGGCAAGGTTTTTGGGATAGATCGGAACTTGGAATTCGAAATACAAACAGATCAGCCACCATTTTATTGAATGGGAGAGCAGTCATGAGAGACTGAATAGTTGACTTCTCCTCCTAGTTAGTGTCTTTGCACGTTCAGATAATCATTAGATTGACTTCTAGAAATCTTAGGTATATGGGAATGGCATACATCAATGTTTGAACAAGGAACAAAAGTGGACCACTTGGCCCTATGAGGCTGCTCCACCTTTCAATAAGATCAGGGCTCATCTGATTTTGACTTCAACTCCATGTTGCTGCTTAGCCTTGATAATCTTTCATCCCCTTCATAACCAAGAATCTATCTATCACTCCCTTAAAAATATCGTTGTATGTTGTGATTCTTTTATTTCCATCTACAAGACGGACACTCTTATCCAGAGGAGATGGTAGAAGCAGATACAATAGCAGTGTTTAAGAGATAGCTACATGAATGGAGGGATGCGGACCACATAGAGGCAAAAAGTTTCTAATTTAGAAAGGCGTAATGTGTTGGCGCAAGCTTGATGAGCCAAAGGGCATGTTCCTGTGCTGTGCTGTTCTTTACTTTGCTTGTTGATTCTATTGGCTGTGGAGTTCTTGAATGCCATACGATCAAGCCTCATGGGTGAGGACTGACCTCCAGATATTGATAATGGTACTGTATCCATTGGCCATACACTGGCAAGAGTTGCTTCTTTACGAACTGTACGGGAGGTGTTGAAAAGCGGAGAGGGACTAAAATATACATCATCTTCCTAGAGAGGTATGAAAACACATGTCGAGTGAAAAAACAGCCAAAAATGCCTTGTAACTTACAAGAGGGTGTGACGGAGTGACAGTGAATGCTGTGCTGGAATTCCCTTCTCCTGCCGTGATGGGATTACTGTGAAAGCAGCCGTGCACAACACCCTGTGTGGCATTCACCTCTTCTAATAGGAGTTCGTGCTTTCCATCCTCCGCAAACATTTTAACGCCAGAGGAAGCCATGGCCCCTTCCACCCACAAAGTGAAGTCATAGCTGTGGACACAACCTGCGAGAACAAAGCATCAAGAATGAAGCAACAAGGGTAGAGTATTTTTTAAAATTTGGTTACATGCAATCGAATGGCCTCTCATTGTGATTATTCATTGTGAATAGTATTTGCCCCTTGACACCAGCCACAGTGGGGCTCAGCATCAGCACCTCAAACTGTCCTCACACATATGTAAGCAAAACAATTAGCTAGCATTTCTTCATGTTATTTAATCCTGAGAACGGTATCTGTTTCCATCCCTTCTAGTGCTGCCACTCTTTTTTAATCCCACTAATACAATAAGTTCCTTTATTTAATTGGACTACTTAGCAACAATTCAGAATAAAGGATAACTAGCACTTTTTGCAGCACAATTTCCTACCCTTTTTCTAAACAAATTTTCGAGGCACAGTTTCCCAAAGCGTAAACAGTTTGATTGAGTCATTTAATTCTCAGAACTGCTGTGGATTGAGAGCAGCACAAACATGAACTGTTAAGATTTTGAAACATTATGGGTGTAAACAAAGAAGAATTTATGATTGCAGTTATTAAATTCAAGTGGCATTACACTATGCAACCATGGTTATGGTTTACCATGATACAGCTCAATGATATTTATACCATTGCACTCAGTGCTTTTTAATTACAATGTTTTTTTTTAAAAGCAATCCTTCTTAGAAAATGGCTATTCCTGGAAAGGCCAGCTTTTTAATGCCCACCCCCAGTTGCCCATGGAGATATAGAACCTTGTTTATCAGCCGTCGTTATTGGACTTATTCAACTGAGTGGCTTCCGAGTACTCTTCAGAAAACAGTAAGAGTTAACCATTTTAGAATGAGACTGGAGTGTCAGGCATTGAGGGTAATGTTTTGGCTCCCAGAAACATGTTTGTGAATGTTAGAATGATCCAACAGCTTCATGGTCATTTTACTGATACCAGGTTTTTAGTTCACAGAATCCCTACAGCATGCAAGCAGGCCATTCAGCCCATCAAGTCCACACTGACCTTCTGAAGAGCATGCCACATAGATCACTCCACTACCCTGTATTTCCCATGGCCAAACCACCTAACCTGCACATCTTTGGACCGTGAGAGGAAACTGGAACACCTGGAGGAAACCCACGCAGACACAGGGAGAACGTGCAAACTCCACACAGACAGTCGCCTAAGGGTGGAATTGAACTGGGGTCCCTAGCACTGTGAGGCAGCAGTGCTAACCACTGAGCCACCGTGTCACCCCAGTTTGAGCTCAAATTGAATTAACAGGATTTGAACTCACATTCCACTGAGTCAATCCCTTTGGAATAGGGGACCAGGTTTTCCTGAACGCAGACACCACCGTCTGTTTTCAGGGAATCTCAAATTTTCAAAGAGGCCTCGACAGGCATGGGAAGCTCACAGCCAGACCCGTATCTGGTGTATGCAAGGCCTTTGGGCACTTGTGTTTTGGCCTGAATGAATACAGTAGACTGTCACATATGGAGTGTAATGAGGTGACTCACCCAAACCCTGCTATTGTTAAGGTGGACACTCAATTTGCACTTGTAAATTGGTCACAGCACCACTTAATATCTAGGCCAGTGGATTCAGAGAAAATATGGTTCTCTCTTCAAGTTCTTTTCATTCATTGTCGACCGATTGAGTTGACACAACTTACTTGTTTTCTGCAGTAAGAGTTTTATTATCCCAGCAAACTGTGGGATGTTTAGATCAAGAATACAACAAAAACCATAACTCACCGAAAAGCATAGACCACTGGGCTGGAGGTCTGTATGTCGGATATTGCTTTGGAAAGGAAAAGCTGTTCCACTCTGCCAGGAAATGGAGAGTGTAGCGTGCTGGGTTCTGAGCTTGACAGTGGATTACACTGCCGGTAGTGGCTGGAAACATGAAGAAGAGCCAGAGAAGAAGAATAGGACTCATAATATTAACACTGAGGATTGAAAACTAGAGATCAATTCAGAGTGCAGTCCCCATGGTAACGCAGAATCTGGACACCATAGTTTTCTGAATAAACAAAACCTTTGACCTCCTGTAGTGGATAATTCTCAACTTTGGTTAATTTTTACTGAAGTCAATCTCTTGCAAAATAAATCCTCTTCTATCTCCCATTTAGTGCACTTTGGAAGGTGTAGATCAGAAATTCAATTTCAATCAGAACTACAATTTGTTCTCAGCTGGAGTATCAAGTTCCATTCTGGGCACCGCACTATAGGAAGGATGTCAAGACCTTGGAGAAGCAGAATAGAATGATTCCATGGATGAGGAAACTCAGTTATGTGGAGAGAATGAGACTTTTTTAGTCAAAAGTGTTGAAATTTGTGGGGAGATCTAATAAGAATATGAGAGATTTTGATAGTGTAAATAAAGAGAAATAATTTCCATTGGATGCAAGATCAGTAGCCAGGGGCAATGGTTTGGTTCTCACAAGGACAAGCAACATTCCTTAAATACTATATTAGTTTCAGTGTTGCTGTTGGTTGCTCTTTGTCTCTTGTGACCAGTGTTGCCCATACTAAAGACAGCATCACTTTCCCAGTGATGCATTCATTGGGTAGCACTCTTGCCTTGGAGCCTCGAAGGTCATGAGTTCAAATCATACTCCAGAATCTAGAGTGCAAAATGAAGGCTGACATTCCAGTGAAGTACTGAGTGAGTGCTGTACTATCAGGTGCACTGTCTTTCAGATATTTCAAACCTTTGTCTCAATCCCATCTGCTCTCTGAAGATCTCCTGGAGCTTGGACTGATGTCTATCCTCAACCAACACCATTGAATCTGGCTATTTATTTCACTGTTTATTTATTACCATTATTTATTTTATTGCTGTCTGAGGGAAATATCTGTGTGCAAATTAACTGCTGCATTTTTTTTACTTTATAACAGCAACAACACTTCAAATGCTCATTGCTTCTAAAATGTTCTGGGAGGTCCAGAGATTATACTTGGTGCTGTATGAATGAAAGTTCCTTCTTTAAGCTTTTACCAGATTGAAGCAAAATTAACTTAATTTGTAGGAAATCTTTGACGTGGGAAGGGTACAATGATGGAAGGTGCTAGCATTGGGGGTCTGTGACACAACTGAACCTTTACTCTCACAGATTCTTTTAACCTCGTCACCTGATGTAATTCTTCTGCAATCTCTCTGTTTCTTTTCCCTCAAGTTTCAACAAGATATGTCTGATAAGGTTTTGATGTTTTCAAAAAAAAAGTACCTTTATAAATGTCTTCTTGTTTAGAATCAAGGCCTGCGCAGGCAATCTTGTTTCTTAACAAGTTGCGATATTTGTGTAAATGCTGGTGTAATCTATATGTGATTACTCACTGCACTGTAGAGCCCTTAATTCTAGATTCTCTTAAATATTGCATCTTTTTGGAAGTCAACAATGTAACAGTTGGCTTGATGTATCTCTTTCGGTCACGGTTTAGTTCCAAACAAAAGATTAGTTTTATATCGAGCTTCTAGATAATTCTCCAACAAAGGCGAGCACTGTATTACATGTTTATTTGTGAGTTGTTGAAAAACATGCCAAGTTTGTAGATAATAGACATAAAAATGGAGAGTGCTGCACAGTTAAATGTTTCATTATGAAACTATTTCACCAGTCAAATGGGCATGTAAAAGCATCACTGTAAAATCAGTCCTTTTTCTAACCCTCTCCCCTGTTGAATACTGTTCCTGGGGTGTTGGTAGCTCTTCTGCTTACACCTCCTCTAAAATCCACTCTTCACACACAAACCTAAGAACAAATTTGACTGTGGAACCCTTTGTAGGCCTCAGTAGGGGGTTCAGTTAGGCAGATGCTGGTTTGTGATAAGCAATAACACCAGCAGTGTGGGTTCAATTTCTGCACCAGCTGAGGTGACTATGATCGACTCTCCTTCTCAACGTCACCCCTCGCCTGAGGCATGGTGATCCTCAGGTTAAACCACTACCAATCATCTTTTTCTAATGTGATAGCAGCCCTGTTGTCCAGTAGAACTATGGTTACTTTACCCTTAAATGTGCTCAACATTTGTATTTTCATGCAAAGATCTCAGAGCCTCCAGTCAGATAGTTGCCACCTTTTGCTTGGCCAGGCTCGCAGATAATGGATGGCAACTTGCTAAAGGGACTCTCAGAGGTCAGCAAAAGTCAACACCTTTAGGAGTGATCAGGAGAAAATTGAGAGTAAAATTAAATTCTAGCAGGATCTCAATTTTTGATTTAGCGAGCGGAAGCCATTCTGTCTCACTGCAATTGATGCAATCACCATTGAACAATGAGTCCCACCTGATTCCTGCAAGGTAACACATCATTATCTCTGTATGCATACAGTTAGGTATTTTAGTTTCTAATGAAAAGAAATCAAATGTGATTACAGAAACATAATTTAAAGAACTCTTCAAAAGCTTTAAGAAAGAAGATTGCAGGGATTAATGCAGCTGGCCAGGAGAACAAGTTGGCTCCTTAAGTTGCACTTAACAGCATGAATGTGTTATAATTACAGCGTCACTAGGCAGGCCAGTACAAGAATGTTATAATCAATGCAGAGACAGTAAAGGTTTACAATTTTTTTCTTCGAGGGTGGTGTACTGCTTGTGCACAGACTCTAAAATGAAAATTAAAAAAAGGGGAAAAGCAGTCAGTCCAAAAATTAACACCCTAGTGAATAATCTGCATGGCTACTTTTGTTTTGAAAGGGCACTGTGTGTCTTGATGGGGCATGTTGGTGGTGGAATATCTGGTATAGCAAGTCTGCCACTGATTAGGAAATTTTTTAAAGAAACAACCTGATGGCTTTCTATTCCAATGAACATTGAAAGGATTGCTACTGAATGGCTAAATGATCACCTCATTTCTGAGCTAGAAAGCTTTGCAACTAAACCCTAGTTCAGTACTTAGAATATAGATTAGACAGTATGTATTTATATAGCTCCTTATACCATCTCAGGATATCTCAAAACTCTTCGAAGGCAAGCAAGTATCTTTTTTAAAATCTTAATCACAGCTAAAAAGCAGGATAAGTGGCAGCCAATTTGTACACAGCACGTTACCACAAACAGAAATAATTGATTTTAGATGAGGAGGCAATTTTTAATGGAGAGGCAATGCCCAAGTGGTATTATCACTAAACTATTGATCCAGAGACTCAGCTAATGTTTTAGGACTCAGGTTCAAATCCTGCCACGGCAGATGGTGGAATTTGAATTCAATAAAAAGAATTTGGAATTAAGGGTTTAATGGTGACCGTGAAACCATTATCAATTGTCAGGGAAAAAACCCATCTCGTTCACTAATATCCTTCAGGGAACGAAATGAGTCATCCTTACCTGGTCTGGCCTACATGTGACTCCAGATCCGCAACAATGTGGTTGACTCTCAACTGCCGACTGGGCAACAAGGAATGAGCAATAAACACTGGCCCAGCCAGATACACCCACATTGCATGAGTGAACAAACAAAGGGAGAAGTAACTATTGGTTAGGCCACTAGGAAAACTCAACTATTCTTCAAACAGTGCTACAACAAGCAAGAAGACAGTTAGATCCTCAATTTAATGTATCTTCCAAATTGGCTGTTGTGTTTTCCCACCTTGCAATGGTGATTATATTATACCAAGGCTGCGTTAACTGTAAAGTACTTACATTGAGAGTGCCGTGTAATGGAATGAACTAATCTTGATCAACATTTGCTTGAAAGCATTGTTCACCAGGTGATCTTCCTTCTCTTCAAGTCAAACCATGAGATGGTCTCCAGACATTGGAAACAGCTGGATGGGGCCTCAGTTTAGTATTTCATTTGAAGGACAACACTGACTGTCATCCAGCACTGAAGCATTATCAGACAAATGTGCTCAAGTCCTTGACTGTGACTTGAATGCATAACCTTGTGACAAAAAGGTGACAGTGTTGCCAAGTGAGCTAAGCTGGTACTATGATGTGCGGGAATATTGAGGAGTATGACATGAATTGTATCTTTCATTGCTTAGACTGTTGTGTTCTCAGTCTGAAGCCTTGAGCACAGAATGAAGACTGTTCATTGTTTCCACAGCAAGAAATGGAAATTGGCCAGGAAATTCAAAACAGCGGCTGGATATTTGTAAGAACGTAAGAAAGGGAAGCAAGAGTAGGCCAAATGACTACAACACATCATTTAACAAGTTCACGGTTTATCCTAAATCTCAATAAATTCATACCTGATCTTCACATGCTGAGATTACATTAGTGTTCAAAAATCTACCATTCTTTGTCTTGAATATATTCAACAACTGGACAGGATAAGAGACTTCTAAAGATTTGCAACCCTCTGAGTGAAGACATTTTTCCTTACTTCAATCAGAAATGTCTGACCCTTTATTGTGAGACAATTTCCCTTAGTTCTTGAGTCTCTGCCTGGGGGAAACAACCTCGCAGCATCTACCAACACAAGTCTTCCAAGATTTGCATAAATTTCAATGCAATAGTCTGTAATTCTTCTAAATTTCAGAGATGGTCGGCCCATTCTGGCTGGTATCTCCTCCTCAGAAGACAGTCCTCCTTTCCCAGGATTTAATCTGGTGAACTTTTGTTTGACCTCATCTCAGCATATTAAACTTTCAATTGCTGTGAAGAAAGTACTCTTCAAGATGGGCAAAGATTAGTGATGTTTTTAAATTACATTGTTTATCTGTGGGAGGCATAAGGAGCAAATGGATGGCAGGCACCTTCCCAAATAAATCAAGGAGATAAAGGAGAGAGTTGTCACTGGGCATTTCCCAGGCCCTCATCGTTTGAAACTTATTATTGATACAGGGTGAAGACTGGGCCGTCTACCTTCCTGTGAATATGATGCAGGATGGTTAAGAAATGTTTTTATATTAAAAGGGACTAACATCTAGAGGGTCTGATTCCTACCCCGGAGACTTTAGCGTATAAACTTGATCATTTAGATTGTAACATTGTCCA